TCTGAGCGTCGGGAAAACGCATGGCGGCCTCGTCGCCGCCATGATCGGCGGCGCGCGCCGCGCGGAGCGGGGCCGCGGCGCGGGGGCGGCGACGGCGCGGCCCCGCGCCCGCGCCGCGGCGTCGCGCGGCGAGATGCCAAATCTGAGCTTCTAGTCTGGATCCGTCAGCGCGAGCTGGTGCAGGAGCCCCATCATATCATCGCCGTCGCGCGCCGGCGCCTTGTCGCGCCCCTTGTCTTCCGAAATGGTCGCGCGCTCATCGCGGTCCTCCAGGGCGCCCCGCGCGACGCCCTCGAGCTGGCCGCGCTCTGGCGGCGGGCCAGGTGGGGCGATCCGCTCCTGAGACACCAACTGGCGTCAGCGTTCTATAGACCGCGTCGAATGACTGGCTGAGGGAGGCGGGCCCGCTGGGCCCATTCACATACTGCCGCCTTCGCCTCGCCCAGGGCTCGCCGGGGCCGGGGCCGCTCGGGGGGCCGCCGCGGGCCTGCTGGGCGGGCAAGACGCCGCGGTGGTGACAGGGATGCGTCCGGTAGCTGCGATAGAGCCGTAGTCTCGTACGTCGCACAGAACCTGCAAGCTGATGCGCAGCCCTTCCCACATCTCTGCTTCTGGTGTGGGGCTCTGGACGGCCTGGCGTAGATCGAGCACGTCGGTGCATGCCGCACAGCATGTCCCATGTACTTCAACGAGACTGATGATGCCCGCTACCGATGTCGCCTCTCCTACAAATCAGCTGGTAGTCAGGCGGCGGCGGTCGAGCTCGCGGCAGCTGAAGGCGTCGCAGGCGCAGGTCCACACGATGCAATGCCGCGCGCTAGCGGTGGAACGACCTGAGGAACTTACACGCGAGCGATAACGCATGGCACAGGCGCGTTGCCACCTCGCGCCTGGTCTGGCATCGGAGCACGGGAAAATCACTCCGTTCTGCTGCGAGGAATGCAAGTAACAACCCCGCCTGATCTGGCTGGAACAACCATGGCGGTCCAACTTCTCATGTCTTGAAATAGCGTTCGGCCTGCTGGATGCGGTAGAAGGTCGCGCAATGGGCCGACTCGGAGAGCGCCCCAGTGCACATGGTGTCGAAGGTTGGCGCAGTGGATACCTGCGCGACCTCGCGGTGCACGTCGGGGTAGGTGGGCGCCCATGCAGGCGCCGTCGTTGACCTTGGTCCCCTTCGCCGCGAAGGGGGGCGCCTGCGCATTTGTCGTCGTGGTCGCTGCATGGCATGTAGTGTGCCCGTCCCGCGCTTTCTGCTCGTTGCTTCTGACTCCAGAGAACCTGCGACGTTACAAGATGGCGCGTGCCTTCAGAGGGCCAGCGTTTCGAAATGAAAACTGGCCTTCTCAGTCCTGAAAAACGCGACTGGAAGAACATATAACGATCCAGCACTTTTGCGAAGCAACCGATATCGAGGGCGTCGCCCTGGCCCTTGGCGCGAGTGAGGT